GCTGGAGTCCAGCTTTGTATATGCAGGCCAGACCTCCCCCTGACCTTCAGCTATCCTACATCCTGCTGCCTCCACTTCATCTCCTCCTAGCTGTCTAAAGGACACCTCAAATGTCACATGTTCCAAACCAAGCCACTGGCATTCATCTCCTTCCACCTTCTCTCCTTCCCCATCTTGGTTCATGGCAACTCTATTCTTCCAACTACTCAGACCCAAAATTTGAACTCATCCTTGACTCTTCTCTTCCTCTCACATTAATCATTAATTCATCAGCAAATCCTATATGTTCTTCCTTAAAGTATACCCACAAGCTGACCCCTGTCACCACTGATGCCACTTAGTGCAAGCCAAGAACCTCTTGGTTGGTCTCCCTGCTCCTGCTCTTTGCCCCCCACTGATTAGTCTCAACCCAGCAGCCAGAATGATCCAGTTAAAACCCAAGTCAGATTGTGTCTCTCCTCTAAGGGCTCCCCTGTCACACAGAGGAAAAGCCAAAGTTTCTTCAATGCAACCAGGGGGTGTCCTGCATGGTCCTCCTGCCCCCCGCCCCCTTGGCTCTCTTATTCCACTTCCCATCGGGCTCCACCCTGCTCTCTTTGCTTCAGCCATGCTGATCTTTTGCTGTTCCTCAGCATGCCGGCATACTCTTGCCCTAGAACCTTCACATTTATCATTCTGTCTGCCTCGAACACTCAACCTCAGATAGCTGTGCAGCCCTCTTCTTTACATAGATGGTAACTCTTCCATGAAACCTTTCTCCACCACTCAGTGTCCCTTTCCAAGCCCAGCCCGTGCTCCCCAGGCCCATGCCTGCTCTGCTTTTTTGCCTTCATCCTCATCACCATCTGACCCAGTGGATAGTTTTAGTTGTATCTCTCACTAGAATGCAAGCTCCATGAGACACACATTTTTGTCTGTGTTATTCATTGCTCTACTTCCAGTTCCCAGAACAGTTTTGGCACATAGCGTGTGTTCATTAATTACGTGTTGGTTAAATGAAGGAAGCTTTATGATGGAAGGAGGAATCCACTCCTCTTCCAGCGTCCCCCTCAGTGCCCAGGGCAGAACAGGCCTTCAGCTGCTCTTGTGGGAGCAGGAGGGACTTGCAAAATCATCTCCCTTAGCTCCCTCATTTTCAGGAGGACAGGGACAGTGGTCCCCAGGAAGGGAAGGAGAGTCCAACCTAGTTTGGCTGATCCCCTGTGGGAGGCTGAGGTGCAAACAGACAGCTGCAACTCCTTGCATCTATGCCACACACACAGCCTTTCTGAATCAGAGGGTATTATTCTTTCCTTCTGAACTCTTGGGATATTCCTGTTTTGATTTGGCTCTGGCAGTGACGACGCCGAGTTGTGCAAAGCCTGGGAACAGTGAGGGCATTAGGACCAGGAGTGAGGCGCACGCTTGGCTCTGGGTTGTGTCTGGCAGAGGGATCTCGGCTGAGTGGAGCTATGTGTGAAAGGAAACCAGGCACTGCCTGCCGGCTTTACATCTGTTGATCTGACCTGACTGGAAGCGTCCAAAGAGGGACGGCTGTCAGCCCTGCTTGACTGAGAACCCACCAGCAAATCCCAGACACCTCATAGCAACCTATTTATGCAAAGGGGGAAAGAAACACCTGAGCAGAATGGAATCATTATTTTTTTCCCAAGGAGAAAACCGGGGTAAAGGGAGGAAAGCAATTCAATGTGAAGTCCCTGTGAATGGGCTTTCAGAAGGCAATTAAGGAAATCCACTCAGAGAGGACTTGGGGTGAAACTTGGGTCCTGTGGTTTTCTGATTGTAAGTGGAAGCAGGTCTTACACATGCTGTTGGCAAATGTCAGGAGCAGGTTAAGTGACTGGCAGAAAAACTTCCAGGTGGAACGAGCAACCCAGGTTCTGCTGCAAGCTTGGAGGAGCCTGGAGCGGGAGAAAGCGAACTTGAACATGACCTGTTGCATTTGGCAAGTTCCAGCAACATGCTCCTAAGGAAGCGATACAGGCACAGACCATGCAGACTCCAATTCCTCCTGCTGCTCCTCATGCTGGGATGCGTCCTGATGATGGTGGCGATGTTGCACCCTCCCCCGCACACCCTGCACCAGACTGTCACAGCCCAAGCCAGCAAGCCCAGCCCTGAAGCCAGGTACCACCTGGACTTTGGGGAATCCCAGGATTGGGTACTGGAGGCTGAGGATGAGGGCGAAGAGTACAGCCCTCTGGAGGGCCTGCCACCCTTTATCTCCCTGCGAGAGGATCAGCTGCTGGTGGCCGTGGCCTTACCCCGGGCCAGAAGGAACCAGAGCCAGGGCAGGAGAGGTGGCAGCTACCGCCTCATCAAGCAGCCGAGCAGGAGGCAGGATGAGGAAGCCCCAAAGAGGGACTGGGGGGCCAAGGAGGAGGACGGGGAGGTGTCTGAAGAAGAGGAGCTGACCCTGTTCAGCCTGGACCCACATGGCCTCCAGGAGGCACTCAGTGCCCGCATCCCCCTCCAGAGGGCTCTGCCTGAGGTGCGGCACCCGCTGTAAGTAAGGCCCTTGTTTTCCCTTCCCTGATCCCGGGGCATGATCAGGTGGTAGCAAACTCGGGCATGCAAACTTTCCGTACCCTGCCTCTCCTGTCCCTAGAGCAAGTGCTTTTCAAGATGCAGCACCTGGGCCAGCAGCGTCAGCATCCCCTGGGCACTGGTGGGTTCTCAGAAATGCAGATTCTCAGACCCCATCCCAGACCTGCCAAACAAGAAACCCTGGGTGGGGTCCAGTGATCTCTATGAACAAGCCCTTCAGGTGAGAACCATTGTCCTAGAAAGCAGAAAGTGAGGACTCTGGCTTGTTCATTCTCTTCTCCATCCTGGGTTCTAGTTCTTCCGTCTTTAGGTCAAATGGCTTTGTTTCTACAACACAGAAGGGAGGTTAGAGCAGATATTCCCCAGTTCTAACCCTCTGACTCCACTACATTTTGATTTTAGGGCTATTGTTAGTGTTTGCTTTTAGTTTGGATCAACATAACAATTGCAGTTTACATTTAGGGGCTCTTCCCATGTGTCTGGATTTACTTTACAAGCTTTTAATGTATTAACTCATAAAGTCCAGGAACGTACTCGCAGCTCTGCAAGATGGATGCTAGTAATATCATCACGCTTATTCTATAGGTATGAAAACAAGGCGAAGTGGCTTTCACAGTCACGCTGCTAGTAGGTAACAAAGGCAGGATTTGAATGCAAGCATGTGAGCTCCAGTCTGCCTGACCCACCGCTCCATACCACCCTCCTTGGGTCACTAGACTAAGGAAACAAGTCCAGTGCCTGAGAGCCAGAATACTGTGCTGACTGCAATTTACCCTGCCAGGGCGGCCCCGGCCCCAGGAAGTAAGCTGAGAAGTGTAGGTGATGTGCAGAGCTGTGCCCAGGGAGATGCTAGCCCATCCTCCACACCCCCTGCTCCCTTACTGTCACCATGGCTGGCCACTGAGGAGGGAGCCTTGGTTACCAGCACCCAGGGAGCAAGGCAGCTGCTTAGTTTTAGTTTGGTGATTTAGGTCCCTTTTCCTACAGGCCATTGCTCCTCCCAGAGCCTGGAGAGTTTCCTGGAAAGCAAACATTTGTGCAGAGCAGCAGTTGGAGGTAGGGCCACACATTCCTCGGGTCCCTGATCTAGTTCCCCTCAGCCTGGCTGCTCAGCCACTCACACTCAAGGGTGTGCAATTGCAGAGTCAGAAGCCGGGAGTGAACATCTCCTTAAATTGTGTGCCCTAGGTGCCTCACTCACCTCACTCTACTTCCATTTCAACCCCGCTACACTGTTTTCAAGCCTTACCTTTAAAAGCTATTTTCAGGAAATTCCCACCCCATTCTAGTTTTGTGCCCTCCTTGCACCCTGGAGTTTTAACTCATAGCACTTACTACAACTAAAGCCAAATGATCATTGATGTATTTATCGGTCAAATGCCTGCTTTCCCCGCCATGCTGTGAGCCCCTTAGAAGGTCAGGACTGAGTTTGTATTGTACATCTCAAAGCCCAACAGGCAGTAAAGAAGTGATTGCTGAATGAACAAATATATAGTTTTCAAATTTGTTGACACTATTTTTCATTGGCCTGGAGCAAGAATGGGCATCCTCTTTTTGCCAATGAGAAATATTGCCTGAAACAAGAGGATCCATGACTACCAAAGTGATACGTGTGTGTGACTTGTGTGTTTGCATAGTGCAAATGTGTGGTGAATATGCGTATTTGTAGGTCATGGTATATGTGTGTTCGTGCCTGTGTGTTGTATATATTCTCTGTGTTGTGTGTGCACTGCATTATGTGTATTAAATGGATGTCGTGCATGTATGTGTAGTACATGCATGTACTGCATTGTGTGGTGCCTATATGCTTGGTGCATGTTACTTTGTGTATGTGGTATGATATGCACAGGTATGCATTGTGCATTGTATTGTCTTGTATGCATGTGTGTTAATGTGCATGTATTATGTGCATGGTTCATATATGTATTTTGTATTGGGGTGATGCCACATGCATTGTTCATCTGGGTGTGTGTTGCAGTTTGCTATTTGTTTTGCATATGTTTATGTGCTGCATGCATGCACAGGTATTGTGTCGTGACTGTTTCTTGTGTATGATGTGCTTCTGTGGTGCATTGTGTTATAAATGCATTATGTGAATGGTATATGCATACATGTACAAGTGTGTTTATTATGCATGTGGTATAAAGTGCATGGATATGTTGCATGTGGCACAAGTGCAGGTAAATTTTGTGGGGTGTGTGCTGTGCACGTAATTTTTATGTGCTGTGTGTGTAGTGTGCATGGGTGTAATTCGTGTGTATTGTGTATCTTGTGCATGTGCTGTGATGTGCACATGTACTGTGCATGTACCATGCCTGTGTGTGGTGTAGTGTTTGTTTCACATGTTTTTGTGGTACGTGTGTGTATGTATTCTTTGTGTGTTGCATGTATGTTATAAATGTGTGTGGTGTGAGTGATACATGTGTCTGTGTGCAAGCATGTTGTGTGTGTTATGCATGTAGTGTGATGTTCATGAGTGTGTGATGTGCACTGTGAGGTGCGTGGTGCAAGTCTGGGTACATTTTGTGTTGTGTGTGTTTGATGTGCACTTGTGTGCTTATGTGTGTGTGCAACACTTCAGTGGTTGCTTCTTCCAGCCAGAGTAACCAACTCGTCTTGACTTGCCGCCTGAGACTTCCCAGATTTTAGCACTGAAAGTCCCAGGCAGTCGGGAGGAAACTCCTCAACCCCTGCGAAGGGAGATGATTGGATTCTCCAATCCCCAGCTTGCCAGGGTTCTCACGGAACGGCCGCCAGCCCTGTGCGGAGGTGCTCAGCGCCCTCTGCTGGCCCCGACTGGGGCGTGCGGCCTGCGCAGCCCAGGCCTTGGCCGCAGACTCCCCTCTCCAGTCTGCGGTTCAAGCTCTGGCGCCTTCCCTTCCCTGGATTCCTCGCCTGCGTACACAAGAGAGTTCCTGCAAAGCAAGGCAAACGATCTCCACCCTCCCCCCAGGGTGACAGGACTCTTCTCCTACCCCTTTAAATCTGGGCCACACTACACCACGTAAGAGAAGCAGCCATATGTTAAGCGCCTGCTGTATGCAGGCCCTGCACGCTGCTTTCCCACCAGGACCAGACAAGCCCCTCTGGCTCAGTTCCTACACCCGAAGGCCCAAACTAGCTCTGCCTGTTGTCCTTTCACCCCTGCCCAGGCCACAGGCTTTTTTCTGACTACCTCTAGGGTCATTTCTGGAGGGCAGTTTGAATAGGTGGCATTAGGGTCATTTCTGGAGGGCAGTTTGAATAGGTGGCATTTTAGGATAATTACCAATGATGCAAGAGCAAAAAAGAAATATCAGTGGAAAAGAGGTCAAAAGACAGTCTCTGAAAAGAGAGGCAAAATTATAGTGAGCCTTTACTGAGCACTTACTATGTGCTAGAGGCTCTGCTAAGTGGTTTTTGTTTTCAACTCTTCGTAGAAAACCTATAAGGTAGGTTTCATTTCATGGATGAGGAAACTGAGGCACAGAAAGATGGAGGGACTGGTGCCAGGTTATCTGACCGGATGAGTCTGACACCAAAGTCACACTCTTAACCACCACGCTACACTTTGCAAGTCTGCCACTCTCCAGATCAGAGACTGGGCAAGTTACATGGGCTGGAAGTGTTTCAAGTTTTTTCTTCTTAGAATGGGGAGAACTCACACGGGTCCATGGGGAGACACTTGGGGAAATGCTTATCACAGCATCCTTGGTGGTGCCGAGGAGCTGGAAGCCACCTGGGTGTCACGTCACAGGGCAAGAGGAGCTGGGTGCACCCTATGAGATACTCAGCCTGAGTTAGAAGCAACAGACTCTGGGTACATTCAACAGTGAAAGGAGACCTTAAAAATCCCCTGCTGAGTGAAAAAGTAAGGCACAGAAGGCGGCCTACAGCACTGTATCATTAGGGGAAATGTAAATCCGTGCACACTAACCAATCCATTCTTTACAGGAACAGATCGAACTCAATGAAATGGTTGTGCTGTGGGAAAGGGAGGGTCCTCAGGGCAGAGGTGGGGATAAAACTGAATGAATACTCAGGCAAAATAGACAGGAGCCCATGATGGAACCACAAACAGGAACGGCATTAACTCAGCCCTCGAAAGCTGCTGTCAAAGAAGGGGCGGGAGGAACAAGCCCTGCCCATTTAGCCTCCTGTAGCGTGGACGGCTTTCAAAGTTCTTCCAGGCCCCAGCTCTCCTTTGATCATCCCGGCACCCAGTGCAGGGACAATGGATTCCTAGGACCAAAGAGGCTGCTGAGTGAGCCAGTGCTTTATATTCTACATCTAGGGACGAACTTGAGCGTGCATCAGAACACCTAGAGGGCTTGTTAAAATACAGATTCCTGGCCTCCAATCCTATAGTTTCTGATCCAGTGGGTGTGAGATTCAACATTTGCATTTCTGCAAACTCCTGGTACTGCTGCTCCACCCTGAGCCAGAGGGACTTGTCTGGTCCTGGTGGGAAAGCAGTGCGTGCAGGGCCCGCATACAGCAGGCGCTTAACATGTGGCTGTTTCTCTTATGTGTTGTAATGTGGCCCAGATTTAAAGGGGTAGGAGAAGAGTCCTGTCACCCTGGGGGGAGGGTGGAGATCGTATGCAAATGCAAATTCAACATTTGCATTTCTGGAAACTCCTGGTACTCCTGGTACTGCCGATCCAGAGACACTTTGAGAACCTCTGCTCTAAGGCACACTCCTTATGCCAAACAGACTGGCCACAGCAGTGCTCCTCAGACTTTAAGGTGCGTGTGAATGATCTAGGCATCCTGTTAAAATGCAGTCAAATTCAGCAGGTCAGGAGGGCAGCCTCAGATGCTCCCTTTCTATCAAAGGCACTCCAAGGTGGCACCAGCACTGCTGGCCCACAGAGCACATTTTTCAACAGCAAGGAGTTACACCGCGACTTCCCAAACGTATGTGCACACCCAACCCCCCTCACTTGTTAAAGGCGTAATTGCTTGTTAAAGACATAGAGATGTTCAGACCCCCTCACTGGCAATGCTCCAGAGTTCTGAGTTGGAGCCCAGTAATCTGAATTTTTTTAAGCTGATGCTAGATAGTCTGGGGAACTAGCGGTAAAGAAAGCGAGTGGAGAGCTGGTAGACTTTGGGAAGTTTCCACGTAGGAAGCAATGCTAGAGTCAGAAAATAGAGAAGAGAGCAGAGAGGAACAGGCTCCCTTATGGCCCCGGGGGTTTGTCCTCAAACATAAATGTCAGCTCAGTGGTAGCTGGCTGTGTGCTGTCTGCTTTTAACTTGCCTTTATGGTTCAGCCTGTGTTTCCCTGGTTTATGTACCCATAGCTGTGATTAAACAGTTGTGGACCTGGGGTTGAATCCTGGTACCACCTGTTACTGTGGGACCTTGTACAAGTCACTCAACCTCTCTGAGCCTCAGTTCCTCAACTGTAAAATGGGATAATAATAACACCCTTGCATAAGGTTGTAGAGAAAATGAGATACAACGTGTGATGGTCTTCCCTGTGTATTAAGTCCAAACAGAAGTTGCCCTTATCATATTCTTGAGTAAATGGCGTAGGAGTAAGTTGGAGAGATGGAGAAAAATGGAGCTGTGGATATCACATTGCTGTCCTTTCTCTGACTGAAAAGTTATTTTCTGGCCCTGGAGACTGCTGAATCATCATAAATGTGCAGGTGCAATGGAATTATCCGGCAAATCTTAAAAACGATTCATACTCATACTCCACTTCCAAGGATTTCTATTTGGTTGGTCTGGGGTGAAGCCTGGGCATCAAGAGCTTAAAACTCCCCAGGTGGTTCTATCATGCAGCCGGGCTGAGAACCAGGGCTGCAAGGCCCCAGATAGTCAATGGCTCTTCACAGCCAGAGGGGAGAGCTGGGAGGGGTATCTTCTCCTTTGTTCCCCACTTCCTGCCCCAGAGGCCATAATGGGCATGGGGTCAGAGGGAAGGGCAGGGGCGGGAGAATCGCCTTGGCTGCAGCTTTGTTGTCAAGTAGAAGATGGTGTTGCAATCCACGCAGGGTCCACTCCGTTCCCTGCAAAGCCTCTGTCCTGCCAGGCCGTGATTCACCCCAAGATAACTCCCCACACCCCTTGTTGGCTCTGATAGCCTGGCCTGCAAAAGAGGAAGGAGGCAGCTGACAGGGCATCAGTAAATCCAAGAGGGTAGACATGCCCTTCGGGATGAGGGACAAGAACAGCAACAGGCTGGGCGTGAGACCTGGGGCTGGAGCTCAGCTCAATTCCCCCCACAAGAGAGGGAAGACAACCCAGTACGGGCAGTGTGAGTGGTGCCTATGGGGCCCGGCTGTGAGTCATGAAGGGATGCCACAAACACCAAGCTTCCAGCCCTCCAGTCCGCCGTGGCCGCAGCAGAGGCAGTACCTCCTCTAGACCTCCATTCTGGATCCATTACCCCTCAGTGGGGTTGCAGTGTAGACAATGCTGAGTACATATCACCCTTTTTTGGGTCAAATGCACTCACCGTAGCAAGTGTGGTAGGATCTTGCTCTGCACTTTAGCACAAACCCAGCTGGCCTTGGGGGTTAGATTAGACGTGGCTAATCTGTACCTTGTCCTGGGGTGAGGGGAATTGATATTATTTACTCCAGTGCCACTCATAGTGTGGTCCTCAGACCTGCAGCCTCAGACATGCAGACCCCTCAGACCCCACTTAAACCTACTAGATGAAATCGCTATTCTGACAGGATCCGTAGGTGATTTCCACTCATGTTAAAGTTTGAGCGCCATTATGAGGCCAGTGGTTCACGGCCCCACTCACATTAGAACCAATGAATCGTCATGCCAAGGCTCCAACCCAGACCAAGTAAATGTGATTTACAGGAATTCACTCTCTAAGTGATTCTAATGTGTAGCCAGGCTAAGGACCACTGCTTAGGGCTCTTTAGGTAACTAAGAACAGAGATGCTCAAGTCACTTAAGGTGATGGAGTTACTGCAAGTTTACACAGGAAGTAAGTAAGGAACAGGGAACTGTCCAGACAAGGCTGAAGGAGGTGGACAGGAGGGAGACCCACGGTCCATAGTTTCTTTGGGGACTTAGTCTTCCTGACATCCTGCAGTAGCAGGGGACCCAGCGCCTGGCCAAGTGTTCTGTGTATCTGTCAGCTCACCTCCTATTGTCTTGTCACTAACAACCACTGCCTTCTACTCTAGCTGTGGTCCAGGAACCAACAGCATCAGCATTACCTGGGAGCTCACCAGAAATGCAGAATCTCAGGCCCCACCCTAGACCTACTTGACCTAAGTCTGCATTTAATGAGGTCCTGGGTGGTTCAAGGGCATATGGACACCGGAGAGGCACTGAGCTACCTCTTGGCTTCTACAACCCCATCTTTGGATTACTGTCTGCTCTGTGACCTGCTATCAACTGCTCACTTTTTGCATGTCTAAAGCTCACACTTCTCGAGATGGAGGATCTGGCAGGTGTCTCTGGCCACTAGCCCGGGGAGGCTGTCCCTGTATAGGTGGAACTATGGCTCCAGGATGCTTCATAGGCCTCTGGTCAGTGTTCAGACCAGTGACTCCCAGTCTGTGCCTGTCTCTGGTTCAGAGGTAGGGGCCAGGATCAGAGCAAGCCAAGGATCCCCTGAACCCCCCAGAAGTGAGCTGTGGGACTTTGGAGAACCTGCACAAAGAGAAGGGGATGGCATGTACCTTGTGACCTCTGTCCACTGATGGAGAATGACAGGCTGGCAGCATCAGCCTCCACTGCAGACTCCAGCCCTTTGCTCCCATCTCTCTTGTCTGCAAGCTTTTTCATCTATTCCTCCAATGGCTCAGCTCCAGACTGCGTCCCAGCCCAGCAGCCTCAGGCCTGGCCTAGACGTTGGTGTGGTGCTCCCAAGATAAGTGCCACCAATTACAGGCAAGCTGGGGTTTTCCTGTAATGTAGGAACTTGGCTCTGTGGGATTACTCCCCTGTTAATCTTGACAACCAGCTTGCACACTTCCTGAGAACAAGATCAGCGTCTTCCTTCCTTCAGTGAACAAATATTTATTTAACAACTATCAGAAGTAAGAAGGTAAGCAATATCCAGCCCCAACCCCAAGAAGCTTGGGGTGCACTGGGGGATGCAGACAAGCAAACGGGCTGATACATCAGTGGGATCAGGGCTGAGATAGAGAAGCCTACCCGAGTGGGAGCCTCCACTGATTTGATAGAAACTGGGAGTCAGTATCCCCAAAACAGCTTTAGGAAACCTGGCAGCAATCTTTCTACCCTGGCCAGGCAAGGGGAGGGAAGGAAGAGCGTCAGTACTACAGCCAGGCCATCTGGTGCAATGCTGTGACTCATTCTCTTCAGAGCCATCATCCAAATGCATTTTTCCAAGTTCACAGGGGATCCTGGGGCTGCATGAAAAGAGGGTGTGCATCTGTGTGTAAACACAAGACACCAGACTCCTCTGATCTTGGAGTGTGAAGATAAAAAGCTAGCCTGCAGAACAGCTCTCCTAGGCTAAGATAATCCCTTTTAATCCAGGACACACCCCTGGGCTGGAGAAAGGTATCAACATCCCTGTGTTGGCTAATTAGGGATTAAACCCGGGTTGATTTGATTCCAAAGCCCTTGGTCGTTCCTGTCCCGCTGCTCCCACTCAGAGGATGAACAAAGGAGGTCGGGGTGGGGTTTTGGACACTTGAGCGACACATACAAACCGAGATAGTAAAATATTCACCGGATATTTCATTGAAGCACAGAGAAATTAGCCTCATTATTTAACAATAAAAACAAACATTTCTTCCTGGATCCTCTGCGTAAGTCCCTAGTCACTTGGGGCCTTGCTTTACGATGTTCAAGAGCCTTTGCCATGCCCTGCCTCATTGGTTGGCTCAGCAATGCTATGAACGTCTTTCCTTCAGTTTCTGGTACATGCCAGCCCCTTCCCACCTCTGGGCCTTATCAGAGGCTGTGACACCTGCCAGGCATGCCATTCCTCACCTGTACTCTCTCTCTGGGCTGGGTCCTACCCGCCCGTCAGGTCTCGACTTTGATTTCATGTCCCAACCTCCAGAACGCCTCACTACAGCTGCTGAAGAATGGTTTGGTTATGTTTAATAGAATAGAAACTCCATGCTATTAGGGGCTATCTTAGTTTAGATTTCCCCCGGAGAAGATCCTGAAAGAAGCCTTTATTTTGCAGGTTATCCCAAGAAGCACGGGTAGGGGCCCAGGAAAGAGGAGCAGAGACTAGAAGGCAGCCCCTGAGAGAGGCATGTGTTCAAGGCAGCTACCTCTGTGGGCAGCTGGAGCTCAACCCTTGGAGACAGTGTGGAACATGCACGCATCTCAGCGCTTCCCACCCTCTGCCCTTAGGGGTGAGGGTGCTGGGTGTTTAATAAACCAACTCTTTTCAATCACTGGCTGAGCACAGCTCACTGGAGTGGGGTAGAGGTTAATTTTCCAGCTCTTCAGGGATGCTCTGACTGGGGAAATCACACTGGTCAGTCAGAGAAAGCCTTAGGGCCATTAGAAGTTGGGCCATCCTGTATTATAATGAGATGGCCCAAGAGGATATGGGCAGGGGCACCACAGATTGTGCTTCAGGCATCATGTCTATTTCAGTCATCTTTCCGTCCTAACACATAATAGGTTGTCAATAAATATCTGTTAAATGACTTGATAGAGAGATGGAAGGTGAAGATTAAAGAGAAAATCACAATGAAAATAGGCGGGCCTGTCTAGAGCCTCCTCGATGAATAAATATCCTATTTCCTTACTCTGAACTTCCTGGCAGCCACACTGAAAAATAAAAAAAAGACGATACTCTTATTTGTCTTCTTCATGAGGAGGAAGCACACCAGTTGCTCAGATGAAGGAAAGTATTTTGTGGCACTTATATCTGCAAGGACTTTTCTTCCAAAGCATCAGAGAGAGGATAAGAAGTGACAGGGGGACAACGTCCTCAATAGGTTCCCTCAGTAATGGAGAGCTGGTTTCCTAAAAGTCATTCTGGTATGGTCCCCTAATGAAAGCTGGGAGCGCGATGACAAGCATGACTCGCTGTAAGCACATTTGTAAGGCAGCCAAGACAGCGGGGTCAAGTAAGTTGCCTTTCGAAGACCTGAAGGAAT